AAGGGAGGGTCCTGGTTTGTGATTTGGCCCTCAGACTTATCAAGAGAGAGACCTTTGCTGATACTTAAACTGGGCTCAGAAAGTTTCCAGCCCCCCACACACACACCGTACCCCCCATAGCCACGGTCCAATCTCTCTTATTCTGGGTTACCCTGCCACAGTTAGCTCTTCAGCCTCTCCTCTGCCCTTCGCTGCTTTGGACGTGGTCTCCTCAACTATGCCCTTCTACTGCTTTTTAGATATGGAAATAAAGAAAACAAATATCATGATCAAGAACTCACTAAGGAATAAAGAAACACAAAGAACAGGGAGTGGATGGACTGGATAGAGCTTTGAAAGCATGGCAAAGTAGAAAATAGTAGAATATTAGCCTGGTTAAGGCATGATGTGTGTGTGTTTTTTTTAGACATGTATTCACCATTAAAGCTTACACATATATGTTTTAATGTTATTGATTCTGTTGCGCTTTAAGAAGAACAAACACAAAGATCTTTCTATTAAATATTCTGTGAATTGCTCTGGTCCCTATACTTTTATCTTGCAAAAAGAAACAAAAAATTATAAACAAAATCACTCTCAATCCCCACCAAAACTAACCAAAATCAAAACAAGCAATGCAATGATATTTCTCAAAAGATGTGCTTACCACACTATCAGAAGGTATGCCAAGCTCAAGCTGTGCAATGGAAGTACATTTTTAAGACTTTTGTTTTCTTTGCTTCTTGTCTTTTAGATTGCCGTAAATTCAACACACTTCATTGGCATTACCTGCTAGCAACATTCCATCTTCACATTTGAATGAGTCTGGTTTTATCACAGTGATGTATCTGTGATTTCTAAATGGAAATTTTGTTTTGTTGTTCTTAAATCCTGGCATCAATTAGCAATGACTTGCACCTCCTTAACAAAGGATCAGGGTTTACTGCACGTCCAACCACACAGCCTCTGGTGGGCTTCCTGGCCTGGGTGGGCTGCTACCACATCATCACACTTCATTATCTCCAGCACACAGGTATGAAGGCAGGATAAGGCATCCTGAACACCTCAGGGTGGGCTCATAGTCATGGAAAATCCGTTTAAGACTGGAAAAATTTTCAAACATCTTTTCTTATTTTCTTTCCCACACACAAATAGAATGATGCATTTTAAGTAAGGAAGAACCCTTAAAAAGCAAAACAAAATCAAAAAAGTACTTCTCCTTAAAAGCCACTATCTCCTTAGGATACTATTCTTACATGAAACAAAGATACAAAGAGTAAAGCGTGCTTAAAATCTCCCACATATGTTGGAAATAAAATATTCAAAAAGTGAATGCATACAACAGTACCTACTCAGGACATAATTCATCGTTATGGGAAATGAACATTATAGCACTATGGTACAGGTAATTCTGAATAAGGGCAAGCTAATAACATTAGGGCAGCTTTCAGGAAACAGGAATTTATTTTTTTCATCATAGATATACTTCAGTACGAAGTATTTTCTGACTTTCTACTGTTACAGGACCAGCGATATGCCTGCTTTATTTCAAGTGCAATAAATGAATTTTGTAAAGGTTATGAAAATACGTGTCTGCTTAAAAAAAATTCTTCCAATAGTCTGTTGGGTATCTGGGATATTCATATATCGGAGGTCTTTGTTCTCAGTCTATGAGGAAAAATGCCAAATACACTCCAGAATGCCAGGCTTAAAAAAGGTGCTGAAGAGAGCCTGCCCAATTATCTGAACTCCAGTTTGGCTCACAATGAAAGGTAGAAAAATTACCTAGATGTCTTTCCATGTCACTGCTCCAGTTGCAATAGACCTTATCTAATAGTTTATTATACTCAGAAAACAAAGCATATTCTAAGGAAAAAATTCTCAGTTCCTGTCTCTGACGGAATGGTCTCTTTGAATTCTTTTGTCGATTTCATAGATTTCTAACAACCAGAGGATCGTTTCTTAAATCTGATTTTTTTATGCCAGCAGCACAATTTCCTCCTCTGTAAGTAGGACAGATTCATCCCATAAGCAACAATGGATGCTTCCTTGCTTAACTCAAGTCATGACAGATTAAGCTTCGAGCAGACCAGTAAATGCCACCTCCCTACTTAATGAGACTATTCAGAGGTAGGCGTTTGGGGCCTTGGCTGGATCTGTTCCCTGAACTGCCAGCTGATGAGCCACTGTTGTCTGAGGCAGCCAAGCAGCCCCGACTGAGCGAGGGGTTCTGAAGACCCAGCAGAGGACCCCCCAGGGCTGAGGCGATATGCCTCATTGCTGGTGCTTCCAAGCAAATTCCTCACCTCCAAATTGTCCCTGCTTCAAGGTAGTTGCCTTGTACAATGCCTGGCAGAAAGTAGGCACTTTGCATGTGTTTGCTGAATATAAAAGAGAAAAATGGGGAGAGAAAAGTGGGAGATTGGAGATGCCTTTCGGACCTTGCCAGATAAAAGGCTGTTATTCCTGGCAAAGTGGTTAGGTGACACTCACTGACTTAAAGAATAGCTGAGAAGTAAAAAGAAAAAAAAAGTACAATCAGCAAATGAACGAACTGATAAAACAAAAGAAAATGAAATAAGCAGTAGCCAAAATCTGTAACTGATGAATTATATTACAAAATGATTTTTAGTAGAAAAATGGCATTTGCAATATGATGTTTCTAAATTCCTCTTAGAGACCAGTGTGTTACACAAAGAAAAGTGCACCTGCGTCTAGAATTATAATTTGAGGATAACCATTATTCAGATTGCTGTGAGGCATCTTAAAATACTATTCCATTTGCTCCTTAGGTATTGCATATAAAACTATAAAAGCAAAACTGTGCTTTTTTTTCCCCTAACACAGAAATAGAATCAAGAATCTGCCTGTCCATGCCAGAAACAGACTGAATCAAATGACACAAAAGCAAGAATGTGCTGTTCTCACATTTATGTAATTCGTGGCTATTTTACTTGTTGAGATCTTGAAATGAATCTTTCACAACCACATGCGTATGTTTGTCATTTATCCCCTTTTCTCAGGTGCAAAGAAGGCTACCAAGGAGTCCGTTGCGATCAATTTCTGCCGAAAACTGATTCCATCTTATCGGATCCAAGTAGGTCAAGCATTTTTCTTCTCTCTAAAGCAATGTATAGGCAGTCCTTACTCTGAGCAATGGTTGTTAACTCAACTGAAAGCTGTATTTCAGTTGCGCGTCTCTGAAAGGTGCCAAGGACAGAAGCTGAGGATAGATGTTAATGTTCAAAGCATGCTCAGGACTAAGTCGGTCCAGGTTTTCTCCAGAGATGGGGCCCGGCCTCTAGAGTCCACCTCTAACGGCTACCGAGAACTCCCAGCAACTCCTTCCCCATTAGCTCTTGGGCCCCCTTGCCACCCACTACTCCCTTCCAAAAGCAGGAAATTGAAAGAGAAAAGAGCTTATTATTTACTCAAAAAAAAAAAAAAATGGCATGGAAATGTGTTGTGTTGTGTATCATAATGGTTCTTGCACTTTGGTTGGTAATTTGTGATAATATCAAACCGGTAAACATTTACCTTACTTACTGAAGTAAGAAAATATATGCATCTAAAATTGAATAAGAAGTTGTCAAACAAACTTCAGAAACTCCATTTTTAGCAACACTATTTGCCTATCAGCAATTACTGTCTTAAGGACAAATTATTTTTTCTCTATTCGTGATAGAAGACGATTTGCAACTAAAAAAATATTGCCAGTTGTTAGTTTCTATTTGTATACAGAGTAAAAAGAAACGTTTTATACTAAAATGCCCAATTCTGATTAAATGTGAAATTTTTACTTTTTCTGCAAGTATTTCTCTGCTCTTGTGATAGCTGCTACAATTGAATCACCACTAAAGAAAAGGGATTCTTATTGAGTCAGCAATTTAGTTTGGAGAAGATAATGACAGGTATTTCCAAATCGTAAAGGCAAAGTTGTGGTTTTCTGAATATCATATATACATAACACAGGCTCTAGCAAAGTATTCTGTATTGACTACAGACAGAGGTCGCCCTGCCTGTGAGAGTCCATTTTGCTGCATAATGAACATGTCTAGTCATTTTTCAACATCTTTTCAAAATTCATATTTTCATTTTCCCCCTGAATTTCTAGCTACATTTCCTCAAGTAAATGCAAAGTTCTTTAAAAAGAAAAAGAGTTTGTTTAATTTAATTTAATTCTGTTTCATCTTGGCAAGGCAACCTACCATCCAGTAATTAACTACTACTTTCTTTGCAAATTTAGCTTTCCTTGAGAAAAGTGAAGGTTGTTGAAAGCTATCAGCCAGCCCAGCCATGGATATCTGTGCTCTCTGAAATGTTACGCACTGTTCTCTAGGAATTACCCAGAGGGGATGGTGTTACGGGAGTGTTTTGTATTTTATTTATCTTGTGATGTTGGCCACTTGCTAAGCTGGCGTCTGAAAGGCTATTCATGATTGTGTTTAGAGACATATATTTGGAATATTAAGACACTTATGTAGAAGAATGGGCTTGCTGATTTTTCCTTTCTTTCTCTCTTTTTTCTTTTTCTTTCTTGTTTTCATTTTTCCTGATGTATCTAGTTTCCCTCTTTGTTTTTTTCTCTTTGCTCCTATATCCTTCTCTTCTCTTTTACCCTTTCCTTCTTTCCCTTTCTTCTTTGTGTTCTTCATCGCTTTTTCTTTTCATACATGACTGTGGGATATCTATCAAGTACGGCATAATGGGCAAGGCCTTGCCTATGGTACACGGGGGTAAAAAAAAAAATCTCTCTTTAAACAATCTAATCAAATTTTGCCATCCAATTAAATATCATAGTCCCTCAGTGCAAAAATTAAGGATGAGGCCCACCATGACTGCTTGTTCCTCAGAGAATAAAATTATCCCATGATCAGTTACTATCCCTGAAAACTTAGGTCTTATATGTGTAAAAACATTTAGTGCGGCAATATTTATAATGGTGAAAACGTGAAAACATTTTAAGTAATCAATGACAGGTTTATGTTTAAGTAAAATATCACATGGCACATCTATCATGTTCTATTAAATCACTATTAAAATTATAACTGTATGAAATGTTTCTATAAAATGAAACCACAAGATAGAAAATTATTTTAATATAAAATTGCAAAAGGAACATCCTTTGGCCCAAAGGTGGAAAAAAATATACTAAAATGCTCAAAGAGGACTTTTATTATTTGGGTTATGGAATTATATGAAATTGTTTTCCTTTTTCTCCTGCTTTCTGTAAAATGGAATGTCATCATGTGGGTCAAAATGTCAGAGTTTCTTAAAATAGAAAAATAAGGGAAGCATTAAGAACCCATGGACGAGTCCCTGAGATACAGTTTAAATGGAAAAAGCACTCTATCTTCCATTCATTCATGCTCTTATTTATTTGTGTAATCATTAATTTATGTCAACAGTATCTGAGCATCAACCAAGGGCCATCTAATCTGTCAGATTCTGTTAATACCAAGGTGTGCAAACAGGATTTAGGCTGTGAGACCCCTGCAGAGTAGTGACAGAGAAAAACGTGTGGCTATATACACTTGGGGATGAATTAGATGTAACAGTTACCTCTTTGTGACCCTGGCGGATTTATCTGGCTCCCAAGCCTCAGGCTTTCATTGGAGCAATGATAATAATACCTGTGGGCATCTATCATAGAGATTGACAAAGAGTCAATACCAGAGAAATGTTAGCTCACTTCCCTTATCCATTATAATCATCACTCATATGTGTTTAGATGTTACACGTGCCAAGTGCTGTGCCAAAGGCTTTACCTGGATAGTCTCGTTAAACTCTCACAGTCAGTCTGGTGGGGAGTACACTGGCAGTTGCTCACATTTTATGGATGAGGAAATTAGACGTCAGGGATGCTAAGTAAACTTGCTCAAGGTCACACAGCTAGTTAATACTGGAGTCTAACTTCCATTCCAAATAACTCTAGGGCCTGAGCTCCTAACTGCATGGCTCTTTCCTCCCTCCCCTAGAACCTTCCTTCCTCTAGTTATTTTCAACAGGACTTTTATCACTCTAAATTTCATTGACTGAAACTCAATGACCTGCGGCAAACATTATTCTAAGGAACAGTATTTGCACAATTTTCATCTCTTAATGCAGCAACTTGAGCTTCCATAGAGATTTAAATCCCTAATGAAATTTCCTTGTCAAAATTCTTGCTGAAGGATTGTTTAATTTGCTGCTCATGATATCTTTGGAATGACTCTGTGCCCAGGAAATAAGCTTCCCTCCAACACCCTCCCTCTATTCTTCCTCTGCTGTCTCCTCCCTTCCCTCCATTCCTTCGTCCTTCCTCCATCTCCGCCACCTGTCAATGCATGCTTCTACTTACTGAAATCTTGGTTAACAGGGGTTAGAAGCTTCTGCTCTTTCCTTCTTTCCCAGGCAATGCAGAGTTGGTCAGAAACGTGCACCTCTGACAATAAAGTTTAAACATAAAATCTCAAAATATATGTATTTAGGGAAATGATGCAAGGATGTCACTGTGAGAGCCTCGGTGGCTGCTATGACAAGTGTCTTTCCCATGGCTATAGGTTGGGTCCTCAAACCTACTATTCCAACTCATCCCCTCTAAACCCCCCACCAAGAACCTGTAGATAACTACATCCAGGAACACATATACGTACAAGAATCAATCTTATAACGTGCTTGGATGCTAGTTTTTGAAAAAAACACAAAAATATCTCATGCATATAGCTGTCAGGTTAATCAAACCCTTCTATGGATTCAGTGTACCACAAGTCACATTCAGATCACAGGATTGAATAGTAAGCAGAAGTTCCAAAGGAAGGTAGGAGAGGACCAGACTTTGGTCGGGTTCAAGAGGAAGTGGCCATCCGTGGAGGAGTCAGCATCAGCTCAGCTCATGGAGTGGTCCTGACATGCAGGTATGTCTGAATCGTGCCTCCCGCCAGGAGAGCAGCAGTTGGCTTACAGGAAGCTGCAGACCCTTCTTGATCCTTTCTGATGTGATAGCTTCAGAACAAGTCTCCTCTCCAAAAACACTGGGTTGACCTGTAGACTCCTGCTCTGTTTTCTCCTCCTCACCACCCATCTCTACCCAGGGCAGTTGCCATCCTCAACCTTGAAGCAGAGCTAGATGGAGCCGCAGAACTGTGAGCTGGCCAAGGATTCAGGCAGATATTTTCTGGTCTCCCCTCTCATGAGCGTGCACTGACCTTAGCACTCAAGATTCTGACATCATCACTGGCTAATGGAAGCCTGTGGGCAGCTCCAGAGAATAGATTTGGAGCAGAGTCAAAGAATGGAGTGGGACAGATAAGATGACCATCAGAAGCAAGGGTCCTCCTCTCCACACACAGCTAGAGGCAGCCATTTCCAGACTTTTCTGTGCCTTCTTGCCATCAGCATCCAACACTCAGCATCCCCATGGCCATGACAACAGGTAATGAGTCTGCTTGCTCAAGCTTTGGCGTGCAGTTTATACAGCTTAAACTCTTAGCGTCATCTGGTCTCCACTGTGGAATGAGGGAGGGTAATGTTCAGCGCCAGTCCATCTGTGCTGACCGACATTCACACTTTGGTTTCTTTGGATCTCAGAACCAGGCCCTGCTCTCAGAACACCTGGAAAGGTGCCGGGAGCCTGGTCTGGATGTGGTTGAGAAGACTAGTGAAAAAGATGATATGGGTTTAGACTTCCTATAACCCCAATATAGGCTTGTATGCCTCAACTTCCCAGAAATAATCATTTCACAAGCCCCCAAAATAAATCTTCCCATAGCATGTGGTTCTAGCCCACGGGAGGAAAGTGAACCAGTCAACACTGCCTCACTTCCTAATGGTCTGCAGAGACAACTAACTCAGACTCGAGAAAGCCCATGGGATTGTCACCTCCAGCGCCCCAGTCATCAGGCCCAGAGCAGAACAGTGCTCCTTTGCCGTGCTTGGCACAGTGAAAGAGAAGAAAACGTGGGAACAACCCTAGAAGAGACAATGTGGGGGCCAGGAGCCTGGGCAGGTGTTTGCTAAGCAGACACAGGAGGTTTCCATGAAGCTTATTAACAGGAAGTTTGCCCCAACAGACCCATGTTCTGCACTCTACCCTTCTCAGTTTTCTTTAACATATAG